ATACTTGGAAAGAAAACATTGATGCTCGATAAGTTCCTACCAAAAAGCCTCGTTACACCAAACTTCAATCCAATTTCTTTAATACCAGAAAGCTTAATTAATTAACTTGGGAAGTACTTCTGCCTTACAGAAGATTGCTGCATCCTAAGTAAAACTTGCAGTCGTTAATTTTGAAGACATTATGCAGTCACAGAAACAATTGAGTAGTTGTGCTATAGACGTCATTTACAACCTCATAGCAGCAGCGCAGAAAGCCTCTTCCATCGTCAATGTGCCAATTGCAGGCAGTCCAGCTGAAATCGCAGAAGCAGCAAGAACAGCTGGCTCCGGCAGAAGACTAAGAATTCTCCCCTCCAACCCACTCAAATACCATAATAGTGGAAGACAAACAGTTTGGCCTCGCGACAGCAGGCCTCCAAGAGTGTCACCTAATCCCTTCACGAAGGCATCACCACTAGAAGACGGTGTCGCTGAAGCGATTACTGCTTCGAATATAAGTCCAAGAAGGATCGATCCGCATCCTAATGGATCTGCTCTCGCCAGCTGGAAAAGAGGCTTTAAGAGCGCCTCTAGAGTAAGTGTCTCAACGTCAGGTAAAACACCACGACGGTGGCGACGAGAGAGGCGGGCAGAATCGTTGGGTGAGGTGTCAGAAGTTGAGGTGGTCTCGGCGTGCTGGCGTTGAATGGTTCGTTGCTTGAAGAATTCTCGAAATCCATTACCCGCATGAATGTCAGAGAATTGAGAGGCGATGCTGGCAGGGAATACAAACTTTTGGCGCAGTTTCTCAACGCGAGAAAGCTACATAATAGATGTCACAAAAAAGTCCATTGTTCACTACGGAGCCATTAATGCTGTCTAAAGAATACTTTTAATAGACCATCAGCGAAGCTAAAAGTCACTTAATTCATAAATTTACAGTGTACTCTCATAAACAATGTCATAAATGAGGAAAAATGGCAAAGTGTACTGAAGAAGAGCCCTTATCCGCATTTTTAAAAATACCGCTAGCATAACGTCTTGAATGCCAATCTTGTAGCCATTGTATCAAGGAGAATGAGCTGACCCACTACTTTATAAAGCAAAATTCTCCTATGAGAAAAATTGTTTCAATTTAACATGGAAAGAATTGCTCGAATAGCCCAAATAAAATTGAATACCTTTTCTTGGACATTCCCGACTAGACAACGTAAGTAAACTCCATCCCATTTAGCTGATTAGAGGAAAAAACAATGTCCGAGCAGTTTGGTGAATTCATATTCGAAACATCAAAACAGAAGCAAGAGTAGATACACAGACTCAAAGTCCAGAATATTATAGCTTGCATCTGGTTCTAGTTCGGACCAACGACAACTTTAGTATCATCTTAGAGCTATAATGCACTATTCAACGGTAAACAAAATTGCATATAACTTCTTTGCTTTTTGATGACAAGAACTTCATAATTAGCACAATTAACGATTCTGCCGTAAGACTAAA